TCAATGTGTGTTAAAACAACAGCCGCCTTTAAACATTGGAAACTGAACTGCCATTTTAAGCAACAGGGGAAAACACTGCAATTAGGTCCATAAGCATTTGGAAACCGTTGTCTTTCATTTGGCACAAATACAACGTGAGGAATAAATCTATTTACAGTCTGACTGGCATCTTTGTCATGTAAAAACAAAACAAACAAAAAAAAAACATCCATCAGTTTCATGTCTGTGCAAGGATCTTAGTGCAAGGATGTGCTTCGGCTCGATGGGCAAAAACACAGGAAGCAGGTTGGAAATGGGGTAACTTCCGATAAAAAAGACATCCAGGAAAAAAAAAAGTCTTATTTTAATATTTATTGAGTGTTTCCTGGAAATTCCCATTTCAAGTTCATTAATCTGGATTTTGTTGAGAGATTGATGTCACTTATTTTGCATTTCCACTCGTGAGGCTTTTTGTCTTCCATGACTCAATTAATTTCTGATGTCCTGATTAGATAAATACACAGACGCACTTTATTAATTACGAAAGGAAATTAAGATGTTGAAGGTGATCCGAAACATTAAAAAAAAAAAAAAATCCTAATCAATAAATGAATACAATAGAAATGCCAGTCGCGATGAAACAAAGGCAAGAAGAGGAATAGAAACAGGAGTGTTTTCACAGCCGGCTGTTACCATGCCAGTCATGAAGCGAGAGTCCTGCACAGAGGGCAGAGTTGGCCCGGCTGCTGCCCCGAGGGTCACCCCGACTGGGCGAGGGAGGATCCGGAAGGACAAAAGAAATGAGAACAAAAAAAAGAAAAAGTGGGGGCACGGGAGGAAAGAAAACAGTGTTGCTAAGTAGAGCTAACTTCTCCAACTTAGGCTGACTCACCCTGCAGCACTGTTTAGCTCATGTCTTCACCTCCTCTAGGGCGGAAAACGGCCACTTAACCATCGACACTTCACTTTCTACACAAGGCGTCAAGTGGGAATTAATAAATATAAAAACGGATGGCCCTGCACAGAAAGTGTCGCAAACAGATTTGGCCAGTTTGTCCAACATGTATGAGTCTCTGCTCATTTCTATACTTGAAGGGGCTGTCGCAGCAGCTGGCTAGTTGGCACCCACACACTTGTGTGCAACGACACAGATGTCTTCTTATACAAGAGCTTATATAAGGATAGCGCATCCTTTCCAATAAGACTCCTCTTTTTTCACTTTGGGAGCACATAGGATCGAGTGGGACAGACAACTCTTCCGGAACACGAGCACCGCCACCAACACTTCCATGTTCAAGACCACTCCTGGCAATGAAGATGGATGAAAAGACAAGGTACAGATGGCGGATGGCGGACTCCTCGGTTTCTGTGGTACTGCTCCCGAGATCGCTATCTATCTATCTAGCTATCAAACTAGCACGCTATCTAGCTAGCTATCTAGCCTGCTGTGTATCTATCTATCTATCTATCTATCTATCTATCTATCTATCTATCTATCTATCTATCTATCTATCTATCTATCTATCTATCTATCTAAAATTAAATAATTTTGTGTTACAAGACTTTCATCCACTGATTTTCTATTCCAGTGAACCCCATTGAGGTCCGCGGGCTCTTTGGACCAGGCCACGACTGGAAGCACAGATGAAGGGAAAAGAAAGAAAGAAAAAAAACCTTTACACAATTTCCGGTGACTTTATTAACTGAGGCTGAAAAACATTTTACTTTAAAAAGTGACATCCATCTCTGACTGACTCTTGATACATGTCAAGATGCTAACTGGCTCAGTCGTGGAATGCTAATATTAAACCCAGAAGTTAGCAAAATGAGTAAAAAAAAAAACAGACTTATTTGGAAATGGGAAAAGTTCTCAACACAGGAGCCGATGCCCATGAGGGAAATAACTGTGCATTTCACAGACAATACCATGAGATCTACTTGAAATATGGATTTATTGCGCCCGGTGATTCCCACGCATCAAGCTCACTTTGCACAGTATGCAGCGAGTGGCTCTCTAATGAATCAATAAAGTCTTTAAAACTGATTCTTCAACAAATGCAAGTGCCTTTCAGAGTGTCATACTTGATGGCTAACCGGATTGCTAAGTCTAAAAAGTCATTCAAATTGTTGAAAAAAACTCATTAATAAAGTGGATTTGTGTTTATTATTGTCGCGTTGAAACGCCCTGCGTCATGTTCAACAACACCCGATTGTAGATTGAATAAGTCCAAATCTGAGTAAATTTGGCATTGTTTTCGTATTTTATGGAATTTGGTTGGTAAAAAAAAAAAAAAAGCTAGCTTCTCTGAGATTTTATCCTAAATGTACATGAGAACTTGTTCTCTGTAGCGGAATCTTTTTTAAAAGTGCCACAGAGGAGTCAAAAAGGAGAACGGGAGAGCTGCAACAGTTAACTGAAATGGTTAGATGGAATGTGTGCAAGGGTAAAAGGGTGAGGAAAAAAAAGACAGTGGGGGTGAGGCAGAAAGAGCAAGCAGCCTTTCGCCCTGTAGCTTCTCTTGCCTGCACTCACAGTCAAAGGCAGTTAGCTCCTCTTTGATGTATCTATAATTAGTCCGTACGCAGTGTTTTGAAAACGAAATCAAATTGCAATGAAACACTTGAGCGCGCCACACAGGGGTTAACATGCTCCAGAGCATGGCGAGCGAGCAGGAGAAATTAACAGCGGGCCCTTTTGATAGGCTTGATCAGAAATGTATTTATTAACTGCAAAGGGGAGCAGTAATTAACCCGCAGACAGCTTGTTTTCTCTGGGTCTTCTCATGTGTCGAACAGTTCATCCCGCAAGGCTCTGCGCGCACACACACACACACGCACTTCCCATCCCATCCCGCTGGACCAATTTCTCCTCAATTAAGTAGATAGTGTATGTGTGTGCATGTGTGTTAGTGGGGCACTGATGTCGAATTGAAATACTATTTTCTCTAAATCTTATGTATTTGTGCTTGTGATCTTTCTGCACAGCAGGGCTTGAGCGCATTTGGCTAAAATGTCAAAGAGCTCGCAAGAGCTGCGACTTTGTATCTGCGTTCCCAATTAGTTTCAGGTTGGAAGCCGCAAAGGAATCGTAACAATAACAGACAACAGAATCCCGGGTAAGGCCTCGAGGGAAACCTGGCGGTGGCATTTACCAACACTGTCACTTAAAATGAACAAAGGATATCTTTCAGCACTTTGTCTTCATGTTAGCATCACCATGCTGCATGATTCTGTATGCAATGTCTTTTTATACGCACATGCACTGTCCTACATGTTCGTGATTTAACAGGGTTCTCGCTTGTCAAGGACGTTCCTAAAAAGAGTCCGGCGTGAACCGAGATGCCGAGTGAAGGGAAACACACAAGGAAAGAAGGGTTCAAATAGGAAGAGCGGCGATTCGTCGTCACACAGTCGAAAAGCCCAAGAGATTGGGATGCTGTCGCAGACAAAACACTGCATGAATATTTAGCAGCCAAATTAAAATGACAAAATACTCGGAAGAAAGAATAGGTGAAGTAAAAAGATAAAGAATAAAATCTTTCTGAAAATACCAGTGGGAAAAGTGACCGCCTTCAGTCCCCCGCTAGATGTATTCTGGTTGTAGCCTACCCCCGTGCCAAGAAAAGACTTGAGAAATGTCATGTATAAAGGGAGCGAAGTGCGTGGTCAATCCTTACTTACAGGGAACTGGAAGCAGTCGAGTCACCGAAACACAGTCATTGATCACATAAAGGCAATTGTGCTAACATTGTGCTAACCACAAAAACAGCTAGTTAGCTTAGCTTCCTGTTTGTAAGATATGGGACTGTTCACAAGATGAAATGGTTGATGTTATTCAAGAACTTGCGTCTGTTTGTTAAAAAAAAAGAATATGTCTGTGTATAGTTTTTATATCCATTCAGTGATTAGGTTTAAAAACTGAGAAAGGCAAAAGCTGAAGAAATTAATTAACTGCTAAATTCATCACATAGCATCATGTAGCATTCCCCACATACAATGAAACTCTGCCCCTTTCGATTACGATCTGCAGTGACATCACATGAAAAACGATCTGATTACCAAAGTTTATGATCTTATATCAGTGCCACGGAATCACTGCTAGCCTTTGATCTTCCTGATAACAATTCCAACATTTTGGAAACGATTCGTTTTGGGGTGAGAACGTTATAGCTCACTTATCCCAAAACACCCGTTCATTTCATTAAATATCATCAAAGACGTTGAGAAATGTGTACTATCATGACAGCATTTTGTTACCCCTTTGCTAACATAGACCAGAGAGTTAACCAAGAATGGTATAAAAATCCAGCACATTATTCCAACTCCAGGTGCATTTGCTGAGTTTAGAATAATAATTTAAAACACAGGAGAAAGTGACGACCAGCATCAAGAAAGAATTACAAAATCATAAGTAAGCCATCCATCCAGTTTGCTACTTATCCTGTTCAGGTCATGGCAGGAGACGGAGCCACTCACAGCTGACTTGTGAAACATGTCAGCCATGTTAAATGACGATATCCCTTTCACCCTCAACATCTTTCAACATACCAACTCTCAAGCCTGAGGAATCAGCATGTCAGTAACAGCCATCCTGACAGAATTTATTGGACGAAGTCAATTCTTTATCTCGTGGTTGAATGGAGCCCAAGGACAGGACAAAACAAATTGCTAATTAAACAAGTACTCTACTACGTGACTCCCTCAGGTGTCTGGAGTTGGTACCGCTATTAAGGTTATATTATACTCTTACTGTCCCTATTTAATTTGATTTTTTTTTTTTTTAAATAAGGTTAATTTATTTTTTTTCCCTACGATTTGAGTCCTGCCACTAAACTCCATCCTACAACTACACCAAATGTGTGCGCTAAAATGTGATAATGATCCTGCCATGCTGTGTACAAATGTGTGTACAACTGTACCTTTTGCAAAAGTGATTGTTTTGGGTCAAAATCACTTTTAGCGGGAGATTAATAATGTGGAGGAGGATCAAAAAATAAAATAAAATAAAATAAAATACTGACCAGCTCAACAAAAGACAGCCCACCATAGCTGTGGGCCACGATGAAGACATGCTTGGCTGCAGCTTTGGCCACAAAGTGATCCCACACATACAGCACGTGTTCCTCAGAGGAACCGTTTTCCTGAAAAACACAAACAGACCTTTCAGTTTCGGGCTGTCGGAAAAGACACATCTTTTAACCTGTCTTACAAACTTGGATGGAGTCACATGAGCCCAACAACAATCGAAATGTTACGCAACAGTAAAAGGAAATAAAAGAGAAATAGAAAAGTGGTGGTAGCCTGAGGAGATATCTAGAAAGAGGCACTCTTTAGTCAATCAATAAGTCTTGCATATTGCAAATGCCCTAAATGTAAAACTCAATAAGCTCAGAGAGGTAACGTTTAAATCTTAATTTGTAACCGGTTGCTCAATCAATGGCCTATCTATACGCCAGTGGCGACCACACGGGAAGACACTTGGGGAAGGTCAGAAGAAAAACAAAAGGACAGCACATACATGTAAAGTACATATGAAGAAATAAAACATGAATCATCAGACGCATAATCGCATACCCCGAAGAATGACTGCAGATATTTTACCTTGGCCCTATTATGGCCACCACAGACATTGTCACCAAGTTGGCATGTTTAATTAAAAATAGATGTAAACACTTTTCCGGAGCTGCAAGGAACAATAGTAAAAGGAGACGAGTGAAAAGGGCATCCATTAATGAACTTGTGACATTGATTTGAGACTTTGATTTCCTATCAAACTGTCTGCCTGGCAATAAAAATAAACAACACGTTCCTGCACAACACACAAAAGCAAGTACACGTAACCTTAAATCACAGCAACACGCTGGATCTAATGCATGACCCAACACTCCCACAGCCCCCAACAACGATCACACGCCATGCTCACCTTGCGTTTCAATCTGAAACACTCCCACAATTTTGCCATCTTCTCACGCCGTCAACCAAAGAGCTTCGCTTCCGACTTCCTGCATGGATGTGACGTGAGCGTGCTGTTTTGCTTTCAATGCAAAATGATCCATATCCATTTGATTCGCAAGTTATGTCAACTCCACACAGGAAGGCCGGAACCGGAATCCAACCCTGCACCTCTGCTCTGTGAGGCGGACGTGCCAACCAGTCGGCCACAGTGCCGCCCCCTACTAATGACACTGCATCACAAAAGCCCATTAATTTCTCTATGTGAAAAAGGTCTTTTTGCAAGTGTGCAAAACTGTGCGAATATTAAATGCTTTTTTGTGTTTGTCCGGAGGTGAATTAACCTGTCAGTGTGTTTGTTTTTGCCACTAGATTAGCATGAGGGGGCTATCGTGTCAGCACCCGCCTCGACTTGCAGGGTGTGATGCAAGAGCAGGCAATGACTGCTCCAGCTTGCCCTCCTGCCATCAGAACTACGAGTGTCAGGGTGAGTGTGTGTGTGTGTGTGTGTGTGTGTGTGTGTGTGTGTGTGTGTGTGTGTGTGTGGTGGTGGTGGCTCGGGCGGGGTTGCAGGCAGAGACAGAGATGTCTGTCTGAAAGGCTGTGACATCAAAGTCTTTTGAAGCCTCGCCGCTTTCCCCTCCGCCATGTCGCCCTTCATCAGAGAGGCCCGTTTCATTAACTCCTTCCTTCTCTTCGAGATTCTGGTACTTCTTAGTCTTCCCCACCCCCTCTGTAATTGTGCCTGACACGGTTGTGTGGAAAATTCACGCGCGAGACACCTTCACTTTCAAAGATGCAGCCATTGTTCCTGTATTTATTTATACTGTACATAAATGATATGAAAGCTTCATAATAGCAAGTGGAATGCCCCGCCTTAACGTGTAACACATTTTCTGCCTTCACCCTCAGCGGCGCACAACAGAGTGACTGACGACTACCTGGCATGGCAGTATAGAGTGAATTATCTAAACAACATTTGCATATTGCAATTATTTCCTGGGGTTAATTAGCTGCAGTGGAGCATACCGCCCTGCGAGACCAGCCTCCTGTCACTAACTCGCATATGCACACACACGCACACACATAAATAAGTTAAAATTTGTGTGGGCTTGCGCGTGTGCCAGGGCTGTCAGAAAAGTGTCCCAACTGCACACCTGTTGCCAGCATCCTTCAGCCATGACTGTCGAGGGACAGTGAAGTGTGCTGTTTGTGTGTTTACAGAGTGCAGAGTAATCCATACTGTCCCCTCAGACGATATAAAATACAATTCTCCTCCCGAGATAGTCTCCACAATGGGCACTCTGCCGAACTAACATGAACGGCTATGACATTAAAAAAAAAAAAAAAAACAAGATAAAGAAAACTCGGTACACATTTTCAAAGTTAACAAAAGCAGTTCTAAACTCACTGGCAAAAGCATTATGTACAACTGCACAAACTAAGACCCAAGTACTAAATCCTGCCTACATAGTTAACCTAAAATCCTTCACTTGTTTTTCATGAATCGTTTCCAATTTTTGAAACATAAGCTGTTTGATGAAACAATCAGGTCCCGGTAATAATTTAAATTAAATCCAAGAAATAGCTTGCGGCCCATGTTGAGGTCTCCAATACTGTTACAAATCCACAAAATGATGCAGATAAAATTGTCTGCAAACACAAAATCTGTTGCTGGTAGTTTGACTGATGACTATGAAATCAACATATCGCCAAATGTATCAATGTAAACAATATTTTCATCACATTACGTGTCGACAAAAACCGCCAGCGAACCTACAGAGCAATCATTTGATTGTCGAATATGCAAATTTCAGTTTGTGATTAAAAGATCAGGCAGCTACCAAACAAACTGAATGTGCCTCTCTCGTGTTTTCCCACATTATGTGACCTTTAAGCGACTGAACTCTTTCCGGTTCTTAGCCAATAACAACCTGACCCAGCAACACGTGAAGGCAAAGTCGAATGCAGATGTGCTCACACACTCACATTTTTCTCCAAAGGTAATTTGGTCCGATACGTGCCCCGTGTTTACTCCTTGTAGATGAGAAGCAGTGACAAAAGAGAGGGAAGAGAGAGACGAACATCTGCCGCCGGGATAACAGCCCCCGACGCCAACACAAACCCGGTGCCTAACCAACACAGGAAACAATGAGCCTAACAACAACACACAACACTCTCTGACAAACAAGCACTTCAGACCTCCGTGCTACTCTTTCCACCTCCTCCTCTTCCGCCATCAAAACCAAACCGGACTAAAGGACATCTGGCGAGGAACAGTTTGCGGCGGGAGCCAGCGGTGTCAGGAAACAGACCGCCATCAAAACCAAACCGGACTAAAGGACATCTTGCGAGGAACAGATCTTGTGAAGCGAAAGCCTTGCGGACCGGAGTGAATGCAGAGGATCAGAGTTGGCCAAATTTTTGCACTCAGAAAGTTTGCGGCGGGAGCCAGCGGTGTCAGGAAACAGAATTGTCCTAGCAAATAACATGTTAACAATAAAATATGAAAAATAAAGAATAAATGTCATCAAATGTACTGGATTGGCGCTTTGGCTAATGCTACGTTAAGTCTTGCGGATAGAGCTATGCTAGCAATTCAAAATGCTAAACACAATATTGAACCGGGTAGTACCGTTCGATTCAGTTCAGTTCAGTGTGGTTCATTTGTGATTCTGTAGCAAACGGTACCAGAATATCAGACCTGAATTGTCCTCATTTTCAATGGACGGCAGTTGCTTGTACGTATGTGGCGGGTGGGGCTATCCACACGGAATTTTTACGTTAAGTACTGCTGTCAAATCACAGTCGCACACATATTTATCTGAGTTGATATGCAAATGTGATCGGCATGGTGTGATCTCACCATTTTCGGCGCTCATGCAGTCATCACATTTCCATCATTGCTCATCGCGGTGAGAAACGCAAGTTGGATTCGACTTTAGTAAGCCAAGACTTTATCTTGCTCAAAAGAATGTTCACCAGTGATATCAAAGTTCGAACAGTTCAAGCTAAAATCCATTCGTCTCCCATTTTAGTGCAATTAATTGCCACATTATCCATTGAGATCAGAGACAGGGCAGTGTCAGAATGAGACTGGATTTGATCCTGATGAAATTTGGCGCTCCTGACCCCGCACACGGTAAGCTAATTAAGTACAAATAAGTTGAAGATCTGACTTGAACGATTAAAGATACACATTTTTCAGTTTTAATTCTGAGAACTGTTTTTCAGACTTACTACGTCTGCGGATCATACGAATGGAACGGGAACATCGCGGAACTGATTGTAACATGGCCGTAGGGTACGCACAAGCAAAGTAAATAAATAAAATAAAAGCCAAACTCCTTGGATGGAACGAATTGGCCGTCCAAGTTTCCGCATGTTGCCTCCATTAGGCCACCTACGGAGAAACTGTACCAGAAGCACCGGGCCTTAAATGTTTTAATATGTCCTGATCAGCGCAAGGAATGAGTACATGATTACGTTCATTTAGCCTGATGATTAAACATGACATCAGTAAAGTTGTTAATTGCGTTTTTCGCCAAGAGCAAAGAGGTTATCAGTTGCCCGAGTTTGGAAGCGGGCGTGCGCGTCCACGTGAGTGGTCATGATTACACGCTGACGCCACGCCAAAAAGGAAAATAACTGGACGCCATCTCAAAACTGCGTGGCACTGCTCGTCTTTTTTTTTTACTTTTTTCGAGTCTCACTTTTGTCCTTGTTTACTTCTTTAACTCGAAGGAAGACACATTGCGAGAGGATGGCTAGAAGCTGTCTGGGAGCCGGTGGCTCCGCAAGAGAGGAAGAAAGGAAGGTACGAGGCAAATTAGCAGCAGAGATATGAAAATGATGGCGGCATTGTGGGTAATTAACAGGTATAGTAGCTGTGGCGAACTGGGAATATAATGATGTGGGGGGGGGGGAGAATAATGTGGCAGACTAATAAGAAAAGGGAAAACTGTATGCAAGGGTGTGCATGTAGGTGCGCTACTATTCTATATCTGACACTGTGTATAGAGGATGCTATACGCAGTATAAGGGGAGGAAGAGTAAGTGAAAGGGGTGAGGAGGTGAAGGAAGGGTAAAAACTATAACGCACATGTCAGGTCACGAGCAGATTAGCGAGCACGGACTATACAATAAAACAACATGACCTTGACGGGGTCATTCTGCTCTGACAATATTT